CTGAGACTTTGCATGCAGGTAAAGGAAGAATCATAGATGAATGTCATTGTGTATAATACAAGCCTGAGAACAAAAATTGTAGTCTACACTTCAGCTCTACACCGAAGAGAAGCGAGGGCGGGCCGCTAGTTATAAATATAGGCAATCCTTTAAGGTACAAGAATGTTTGGTCGAACGGGCACCACAAAATATTTGATAATAATTATTTCTTTTACCCGCTTGAAACTCATAATTTTAATGTGACTACAGTGCATTAACTGACCTTACGAAGCGATAACTAATTTTCAATTCTTTTACCATCTTTTTTTCTTTTTGAAGTTATACTTCTTTAGGCGCGTTATGAAAAAATGATGAGAGAGAGTGAAATTTTAAGATGCGCGCGCATCACTGTAACACAAAATTTTAACAGCATGAAGATGGTCGCTTTAGCGACCAACTTCATGCGTTACTTTTGTGTTTACCGCACATTAACAAAATCCACCAACAAAATAGAAATTGAATCTCTATTTAGTGGGTGCTAACGACTGCATTGTGAAGGCCTATCAAAAGTATTTATTAATCTGGAACAACGGAACCAAAGCGCGATTCAGGAGACTACAGCGCCATCTCTTGACCATTAGTGTAGTAGAACCAAAAACCACATCTTTATTTTTTGTAATAAAGTAACAGTTATAGGTATTCATATTTATAATATTTATCCACATGTTTCTAGTTTGTATATTCGGAATACGTGTTTGAGTTTCATACAAGTGCAAATCACATATGTTCTAATAAATTATATTCAGTAGCGATTTTAATTGAATATTTTGATTATTTATTTATTTTTTCAAATTAAAACTGAACTTTATTGACCATGCAATTTAAAACTAATTTTAAACGATGCCAAAGAAGGATAACTTCTCACGCGCCTACATAAGTACACGCACCCATTTTTTTTATAGCCAGGTAGGCAAATGACTCTACCCCATCTGATGTTAAGTGGTGATAAAGTCCAAACGCGAAAATAGCTGGTACAGCAGTTACAAACTGCAACATCAACTATCCTCACGTTGTCGGTTTGCAAAAAAGCTTCTTTACCCAAAAACCTTAGGGCTACTGGCAACAACACTCAGGTTAAATCCTGTTTAGCTCACCATTTCATCTGTATCAAAATATTTGAAATCAAATAGTGACTGAATTAGGTTCTAACAAATAATTAGCTTTCAAATTTGATTTTAGAATAGAAAATATAACTAGAAAAAAAATCCACGCGGACCAGGCAGCAAACGGGACTCGAACCCGCACCCTTCGCAAGCCGGGCGAATGCACTGACCAATTATGCTACCGCGGCCCTCAAGGACAGAGTCGAAATTCTTCTAGCCATTCTTAAGCTGCAAGGCAGTGGGTATATACCCACAATGTCAAATGAATACTTTTACAAGTATTAAACATGATGGCGCTGCCTCGCAGCTTAAGAATGGCTAGAAGAATTTAAAATAATCTGGGGTCCTTTAAGAGAGGCGTGAAGAAGCATTTTTGCGGGCCGGCAAGGTGAGGATGGTTGGTGTAGCAGTTTATAACTGCTATACCAGCTATCTTCGCGTTTGGACTTTATCACCACTTAACATCAGGTGGGGTAGAGTCATTTGCCTACCTCGCTATAAAAAAAAGAGCCCTGAAAATCGGGACGTCCCGCCCACATCGAAACACTTGGAAACACTATGCACAACTGTAATCCTTTTGGCAATTCAAAATCTGAACACTTACCCGATGAGAAATTTTACTTATTAGGAGTTAGTATCACTGTTAAGTCATTTAATTCAATCGTTACCTTGAACAAACCAAGCACTAGTATGATTTTAATTATTTTTTAAGCATTTAACTGCTAGATGTTTAAATCTAAAGAAAAGTTTACTAGAAAAAACACTACCTGGTCCGCGTGGATTTTTTTCAAGCACTAGTAGTTTAAAACGCAATAAATTAAACCAAGACTTAAAAAACCCTTGTTTTTTATTAACTGTCCCGATCTGCAACCCTAAATCCCAATTTTTTGACCTCTTGTACCGATTGAAAACATATCGGATCTGGAAACACTAGTTGTGCATCTCCCACACCTGCACGACGGAGCTTGGCACTACAGCGCTAATTTTTTTTTTCTAAATAAATATTTCCAACACTCACACCAATTAGCCTAGCCCCAAAGTAAGCACTGTAAGGCTTGTGTTATGGGATGCTAGGGTAATGGATAGAAATACATATTAAACATCCATGACTGGAGTACAAATGCTCGTATTCATAACACAAACATCTATCCCACCGGGATTCGAACCCGGGACCTCTCGAGTCGGCGACACCATGAAACCCGGCGTACAAACCACTCGGCCACGGAGGTCGTCGAAAAATTAGCGCTTCGTAATGAATTATCGAATTTCGTGTCTCTAGACGCTAGATAAAACGCGTTTGTGGCAGGCAAACAATCAAATTGTACTGGATGTTTCATGCTAAAAAACGATTCGCTCTTGGCCAAATTTTTACTCGATCACGAGATCCGTGACCGAGGAGATTTCCCAAGGGCCGACATTGAGTTAGCAACGCTGTACTCTCTCGCTGACATCTCTAAAATAACACTAGAAGTATTTCTCTTTTGGCAATTTAAAACACATATAGTTACGAATGAGGATTATAGAGATTATAGCTGCAATTAATTTAGCATTATTAGTTGGAAAAGCCTACTATACAGTTGAGGAATTTTTAAATGACAAATCCTGTAATTAAATCGGACATGCTTTTTATAAAAGCAGTTCTCTATTAAAAAATTTAGACATATTAAAATTGACAATCCAGTTAAGAAATGTGTATTTATTGCTATTTTAGACATTTTGCTTATTTTTCCATTAAATTTTTGACTATTACTATGACAACTTTATGGCTTATCAAAGGAGACCCGGCACATTTCATAGAAAAAATGCTAAACTTGTATACAGTTGAATTTGGTCTCAAAATAAAGCCAAGATTATTTGCTACATAAAACTACTTTTGCCTTATTTTTAGTGAATCGTGGTAAGAAGTTATTTAATGATTAATATTTTTTGATAGAGAAACCCTTTTGATGACAAACCTACGTATTTGACATTGCCAGCTAGCTGCTGATGACAAATATTGCCAGACTACGTTACCCAATTATGAAACACAGATAAAAAAATTAAAAAAGTATACAACTTTGGCACAAAATGCCGGGTGTCCTTTATGATTAATTTATAATCTACTTTGACATGCATGTAACAATAGACAATTTCAAATTATTTTAGGTCCATATCTATTTGTATACCTTAATTAAGGTGGAAATGTAGTGATACTAACAAAAAATTTATATACCATGACGTATAGTAACCTATGTTTCACAAATAAAATTCTGATTCTGATTCTGTTTCTGATAGAGTTGACTCCTCATTTTGCATTTAATTTAGGTCTTTATACCTATATGATTTCATTTGCGTTATAATGTGACAGAGATAATTGGCACCGGATGTAGGTATACCGGAAATAAATATAGAGAGGTTGAACAGTCACGAGACACTTAAAACAAAATGGCAGACATTCTACGAGTTTGTATCACTTTGGGAATGTTCTAGTTTTTACTAGTAGCCAAATTTTTGATAGTTTGTGTTTGATTGTTTTATTTGTAGATACTTCGTTATAGGTCTGTAGGTCTGTATTACGAGTATAAGATGTGGGGAAAACATGGATTCCATTGATTACACCAATCTTTAACCGACAGAGGTTTCCCAATCTAGTATTTTATGGTGGTTTGGCATGAATTTTAAAGCAAATATTTTTATAGAACATTGTCTTTGTATCTAAAGAAAAGTTTACTAGAAAAAAATCCACGTGGACCAGGCAGCAGACGAGACTCGAACCCCCACCCTTCGCTATCCGGGCGAATGCACTGACCATTATGCTACCGCGGCCCTGACGGCCGTGCCGAATTTTTCCTAGCCTTAGGCTGCAAGGCCTTACTTTTCTTTAGATTTAAATAACTAGCAGTTAAATGCTTAAAAAATAAAAACGTAACTTTTGTATTTGCATTTAAAAAAGGAATCCGTAAAATGATTAAATAAATATTTAAAAGCAATAATAATATTAATATTTTTATCACCACCAATATGATCAGCTTTAGGTATGCCCTCACTGCTGAGAATAGCATAGGCCTCCTAGATATGGTAAATATTTGTAGTAGTAGTTATACTGTTACATAAAATAGGTTAAACAACGCCACTTTGTTGTTTGATTGTGTTGACGTTACTTAAAATTACAAACAAAGTATTAGGCATATATACTGTAATCTAAAATACTCCGATAAGAACTGTAAAACGAGATTTATACGTATTGTCAGGGGGAAAATCCAATATTAGTGTTACTTACATATGTAACTTTGGCAGGATTTTTGGATCAAGTTCGGTAAATTTTTATACGACATATTTATGTAACTTTACGGCAAGTAACTTTAAGTAGCATTATATAACTTAAGGTAAATCAGTAGGTGCTGTAATAAATATTCATTTAAAATACCCAGCATAGTTTTCGCTGCATTAGACTATTATAAAACATTTGTATGTAATTTATTGCGCATTGTGTAAAAGAAAATATAATACGGAAAACAGTTTGATTGTGATTGATCTTAAAGCACTTCTTTACTATTTTTTTAAAGATTCTATAAAAACTAAAGCAAAACTGTTAAGAATCAGAGTGTCATCAAATCTAAATTACACAAAATCAATACTGTAATTGCCAGTAAATAAGCGTGTTATTCTAATGAAGTGTTGGATTTTGAACAAAAAAAATCGTCTATTTTTACTGGCCACGCTCGCACATATATTCGCTCGCATATATATTTACTGCCAAAGTCTTTTATGAAACTCCACAAATATATACTCCGTAACACTATCAACATAAAATTGAACTAAAACTTTATAGTCCATAAATTTTAGTAGAGTGTAGCAACACACTATACAGTAAAAAGCATGTGTCATGTTATGTATATTGTAGTGTGCTTCATAATATTAGATGTTTTTAAAACTATATCAAATGAAAATATGAATCATAAAGTATTGGATACTTTAAGCATTAATGATATGACTAATGCTTTAGTTAACGCCCTTGGTGTAAATATAGAAGGAACAACAGATGAAAGAATAAAAGAGTTAAAAGAAAAACTTGACAAGATAAATAGCTTTGCCATTAACAAGGCTAAATATGAAATTCTGTTGAAAAATATAACAGCGCAGACATCATTGAACGAAACCAACTTTTATAAGTCTTTGAACGAAGATGACCAATTTAAGTTTCTTTCAACAAAAGAATCTAAAAATTTGTATTTAAAATTAAAGGAGAGAATGAATCGAGATGACATTATGAAAATTTTAGCGGAGAAAGCAGAGGATGGTAATGTTATGAGATCAGCGAGAAAGGTAATGACGAGAGGACGAAATAAATTGTCTAGATCATCAACTGATGAAGAATTGGATGTGGTTGTTGATGAAATGCTTGGTGAAATACCAAACGATAACCACAAATATGATTCTAGAGATAATCAAAGTGTTTACTGGGGTAAGATAACGCCGCATTATTATATAAGACACATTAAAACTTAAATATTTAAACGATGACCGAAATAAAAATTAAAAACATGCTTCATTGAATCTAATAATGAAGTGTCAATATAATTTTTAATATTTCTTAGTATGGCAGCCGCTAGGAAATGTTAAACTTGAAAAAGATACATCCAAAATGAGATGCATTTTAGTATCGCATCATGACACTTTAAATTAGACAAAATTCTTAGTGAATGACGAGCTTCACGATAAACATGTCTGATTCAAAGTTCATATTATATCAATTGGATAGTTTTGGGTGACCAGGAAAAAATATGAACACCATAAAAGGATTATTTCTAAATTTTGGTACTTATTTTATTTCAAAAATCAAATACTCACTATTTTTTCTTATTTTCTATACAAAATGTAACTTAATATAGGAGGCCTGCGATCGCTGCGCCGTATGTATATTGTGTTGTGTCTTCCGTCATACAAAACTTTAAGATCAAATCAAATCGTGCGGCTTTCCTTGAAATGCCTATTTAATTCCAACTTTCAATAAAGTAGACGAAAATTATAGCTATTAACGGGATCGCTACCATGTACCTTGTTTTTTATGAGTCTCCGATATTTCGGCACTGTTGCAAGCGCCATGATCACGGAGTAACTGCTGTTGAAAAATATAACAGCGCAGACAGCATTGAACGAAATCAACTTTTATAAGTCTTTGAAAGAAGATGACCAATTTAATTTTCTTTCAACAATTGAATCAAAAATATTGTATTATACAATGAATCCAGATGATATTAAGATGATTCTGGTGCTTGCGACAGTGCTAAGATATCGGAGACTCATAAAAAACAAGGTACACGATAACAATCCCGTTAATAGCTATAATGTTAGTGACCATGAAAGATTAAAACAATATATAGTATACAAAAACTTATTTAAGCGGAATTTTATATCCCAAGATCCTCAGATCGAGTTGGAAGAGTTACGGGACTACCACAGACAAGGTGGCAGGCGGCTGTACCGTGGGGAGAGGACCACCATCAGATATTACCCCTTCATGGTCTCCATACACGTACTCGATAGGTTCTGGTGTGGAGGTGTAATATACTGGTATGACCTGGTGCTTACATCAGCTGCCTGTCTGCAGCTGTGAGTATATCGAAGTTTTCGTCAAACTGTTAAAAATATCATATAAAATAAATTTTATCTGCGCTCATGTCGAATAATTCGAATTACGAAATTAAAGATGGTTTTATAAAGACACTAGCGGCCTGCCCTCGCTTCGCTTCGGTGTAGAGCTGAAGTGTAGACTACAGTTTTTGTTCTCAGGCTTGTATTATATACAATCACATTCATCTAAGATTCTTCTTATACCTGCATGCAAAGTGTCAGCCCGACCGGTTTAAAATTGACAAATTTTCATACAAACTTTCATTCCCCTTATCATCATTTATCCCCTTGGGGATAGAATTGATCAAAATCTTTTCTTAGCGGATGCCTACGTCATAACATCTACCTGCATGCCAAATTTCAGCCCGATCCGTCCAGTGATTTGGGCTGTGCGTTAATAGATCACTATGTCAGTCAGTCAGTCACCTTTGAGTTTTATATATATATAAAGATAGATACTATTTAAACGCACATACTTAAAATTAAAAATACAACTCATTACATTACTGCTAGCTGTATCGTTATAATTAAAGTACACTTTTATTTTTTAATTTATGAAATTATTATTATATTAATTATTATATTAGGCTGAATGTAAAAAAATAGGCGCACGTATTCGAAATTTCAAATTAATTGCTCGCGTTTCACATACAACTTTCTACAGATCGTGCTTTGTTTTCGGGATTTCAGAAAAGTCTCGCAAAACATTTTTTTGTTACTTTGTTTAATTTCAATTGTTCCTCTGAGTGAAGATTAAGTAGTGTCTGCAACTGCATATAATTTAGGTATTAAAACACTCGAGTCAACCTATTATCGCATTCAGCATAAACTACGATAATAAAAGAGCTATCTAGAAAATGACTTCAAATAAAGGTTCTTCAGACAAGGCTTGTTATGGAGCGCCTTTATTAGAACTCATAATTTTTGGAGTTACCTCGATTTACTTTTATGAATTCTGGACGTGATAGCTGACAAGGATGTTGGTCGTATCGAAATTATTACAGGCTATTTGAAGTATGCATTCGACATTATGGGTTACCTATAATGCGAAGAGATGGCGTTGTCTTGCAGCTTAAAAATGGCTAGAGGAATTAGACGCGGTCCATGAGGGCCGCGGCCGCATAATTGGTCAGTACATTCACCCGGATTGCGAAGGGTGCAGGTCCGCGTGGATTTTTTTCTAGTTATATTTTCTTTAGATTTAAACATCAAGCAGTTACATGCTTTAAAAAAATAAATATTATGACTATTTGATATTATTAATTGTTGAACACGGCCATTAATTATAAGAAACTGGAGCGCCACCAGTAGTTAGAGTTAAGATTTCATAAATTTTCTGAACAACTCCTAATATTTATTTTATGTTAATAAAAGCTTGTTGAAAGATAGATGAAATCGGTAAAGTCGTCGGTAGGTCAAGATGAATCCTAGGAGGCTGCAATCGTTGGTAAAATGTTTATTCCTCCCATTGACAGAATGCATAACAACCGCTTTTTTCGCGAAAACCCCAGAGTGCTGCAGGTGAGGGTGGGCAGTAACCACAGCCGCATCAGTGGCGAGGTAGTCGATGCATTAGAGGTAAGTTACATTATTATTATACTCTTTATTGCATCATATAGTTAAAACATATAGTAAAATACATAGTTAGCAAAGGTGGGCTTATCTCTAAAAGAGATCTCTTCTAGCCAACCTAGGTGGTGTCGGAGATTCACAACTTAGCGGGAAAAAGAAAGTGCAATAAAAATTAAACTAAAAATAATTTATAACTACTGTTATAGGAAATAGACTTAATAAATAATAGTTATATATATATATACGATACGCATTACATATATAGATACATATACCTACATAAATAAACTTGCATAAATATACATAGATAAATACAATACCTATCCAAATATACATAACATACATTATCATAATATTGGAACGTAAAATATAACAATAATAAAGTTTTAATAGAAAAGAAGTCTTTAGATTTAAATAATAAAATTTATTAGTAATTTTTAACTGCAAAGTACGTAACCGTCGTTACAACTTATAAAATATGGAAATTCAACACAAAATTATCTTATAAATAAAATTGTCGTGTCACAATGTTAGTAACCATACTCCTCCGAAACGGCCTGACCGATTTTTATGAAATTTTAAATGCATATTCCGTGGGTCTGAGAAGCGGCTACTATCTATTTTTCATATCCTTAAGTGATAAAGGTTGTACACCTGTAATGCAGTGTTCTGAAACCTGCTTTTGCGCCTTCGCGCCTATATTCAAACTATTGCATTGAAACGTAGTGTTCTCATATGGGTTAGGAGGAATATTATTTTGGACAATATTTATTTCTTTATAATGTGGCATTAAAAATACATACAACCCTAAATTTTCTCTTCTAATACCTGCCCCTATTTTTAAGGCCGAAGTTCGCTGGGTCAGCTGGTAAAATTATAATAATTTTTGTGTGTGTGTGGTATGTTACTCAATCACACAAAAACTACTAAACTGATTTCAATGGAATTTGGTACGCATGTAGTTTATCAACTTAATTGAACCATAGGATACTTATTTATCCCAGAAGATAGGTAGGATCCTGTGGGATTTCCAAAAAAGTAAAGTTAACAGGGACAAGGTCGTTGGCGGTCGTTTTCATAACATGCATTTTTACAGGCTGATGTCACAATTTGAAAAAGAATAAATGAAACAGAATGTACGTTTTTAACGAAAACAGAATTATTTTCCTTATAAGAGTCGTTGAAATGGAAAGATTGAGGACTGCCCATCTCAATTGAGATCTCAGTGGGCCTGTCTTATCTCCTCGTCGGACCATTTCTTATAGCAATCCTTAATAAGATCTTGTTGGAGCGACAAATAAAACAGAAACAATTGAATCTATTATATATATAAACTTTTTTTTAGCATTTGCATGCTAATGTTTAAAGCTAAAAAAATTTTTACTTGAAAAAATTCCACGCGGGACGGGCTGTACAATGGTCAGTGCATCCGCCCCGATTGTGGATAGTGTGGGTTCAAGTCCCGTCTGCTGCACGGTCTGCATGGATTTTTTCCAGTAAAAAAAATCGAGGGCGCGGGTGGTTAGCGCGTTCGGCTGCGATCGTTGATTTTAAGCAACTTTCGCAGTGGTCGGTCATTGGATGGGTGACCAAAAATTTACTATCTCGAGCTCCTCCGTGCTTCGGAAGGCACGTTAAGCCGTTGGTCCCGGCTGCATCTGCAGTCGTCAGCACCCACCAATCCGCACTGGGCCCGCGTGGTGGGTCATGGCCCAATCTCCCTGTTCCATCCGTAGGGAAGGCCTGTGTCCCAGCAGTGGGGACATTAATAGGATGATGATGATGATGAAAAAAAATCTTTTGAATTTATCATCATATTGAAAACAAATGTAACAACATTATATACACAGTTTCGTAGCAAATATTTCAATTATAAACTTCACTCATATTGGTTATTCGGTCTACGAATGTAATAACAAAACGCTATAAATATTTAAATTTTAAAGCAGTTATCCTCACCTGAATGAAATGAAATTTACATAGGTACACCTTTAGGGCCTGCGCTGCATTAAGCGGAAGCTAAATTTTGACCACAATACGTGGTTAGCTGCATTGGCATATAATAAATATTTCCAACACTCAAACCAATTAGCTTAGCCCCAAAATAAGCACTGTAACGCTTGTATTATGGGATATGTTATGGGTAACGAATATATTACATATACAATACATTGTATAAGCATATTTATATAGAAATACATATTAAACATCCATGACTGGAGTACAAATGGTCGTATCCATCACACAAATATCTGCCCCCACCGGGATTCGAATTGAACTCGAGTCGGCGGTACAATAAAACTCGGCGTACAAACCACTCGGCCACCGAGGTCGTCAAAAATAAAATATACTCGTATGCTCCCAGAAATTGTTGAGAAGGATACGTGACATTTGCCTTCAATTATCATTAAAATCTTGATCATCATCATCATCAGCCTATTAATGTCCCCACTGCTGGGGCACAGGCCTTCCCTATGGATGGAATAGGGAGATTCGGTCATGACCCACCACGCGGGTCCAGTGCGGATTGGCGGATGCTAACGATTGCAGATGCAGCCGGGACCAACGGATTAACGTGTCTTCCGAAGCACGGAGGAACTCGGATAGTAAATTTTTTGGGCACCCATCCAATGAGCGACCACTGCGAAAGTTGCTTAACTTCAACGATCGCAGCCGAACGCGCTAACCACTTGCGCCATCGAGCTCCTCAAGCTGTCTTACGAAAAAATCTTGATATTTTATATAAGCTTATTAATCTTTAGGTATATTTCCATCCGGGATACAATCCTCGTACTCTACGGAACAACATCGCCGTGATCCGCCTGCGCAGACACCTGTACTTGAACTACCATCGCATACCGAAGCTTGTTGCCATATCTCACGACGCCAACAGCATCGCAGCCACTGGCGAGGTTCTGCTTCTTGGATGGGGTGTTACAAAGGTACGATATCTTGGGAAGTGAAAATAGGGAGTATAAAGGCTTAGATTAAAACAAAAAGGGTAGATACGGTACGCTCATACTTGTATCAAACAAAAACTGATACCACGGCAGCGCGAACGGGACGGCGAGATCCGCGTCACTGCATTACCGACCCGAACGAAACAGCACGTCAAGTTTCAACAGCAGCGCGAACGGGACGGCGAGATCCGCGTCACTGCACTACCGACCAATCACGCGACCAGCACTCGACGTCACTACCGAATAAGATTCAAAACAAACAGCAATTTTTATGAAAAAATATATTTTATAGTACTTACGAATGAAAAGTGATGCCGTGGGTTTTATTTTTAGTTCTTGAGTAATTTGAGCACTTTTTAAAAACACACTTAGGCACTGTTTTATCATATAAACACAAAATATTATCAATATTGCTTTTTGGCGTTCATATGTACGTCGTTTGCATGTCAAGTTGTGACTAAAGCGATTAGGGTTGTGGACCACAATTTGTGCGGATCACTTTTGTGAGGCTAGTGCCGTATCTACCCTTTTTGTTTTAATCTAAGTATAAAGGTAAAATATTACTTCATCTGGTCAACAGTCTTGGATATAAGGCGTGGACTCATACGGAAAAAGTTGTAAGCTCTTGAGATATGGTTTGAGATATGTACGTTATGAGTGATGAAGACGTGTAAAGAAATCCAGGGGAAGTCAGGAGGGCCATCAATACAAGAAGGTAACCTTTCTTGGTCATGTATTAAAGCATGAGCGCAGTGATCTACTCCAGATTATAAAGATGGGGAAAAATAGATGAAAATACTCGATGGAAGAAGAAAGAGGTCGTGGCTCCGAAACTTCAGAAAAGACTGGCATTATCAGCGTATAAGTACTATTTCGAGGAGGTCGATGGCGCAGGTGGCTAGCGCGTTCAGCTGCGATCGTTGAAGTTAAGCAACTTTCGCAGTGGTCGGTCATTGGATGGGTGGCCAAAAATCTTCTATTTCGAGTTCCTCCGTGCTTTGGAAGGCACGTTAAGAAGTTGGTCCCGGCTGCATCTGCAGTCGTTAGCACCCGCCAATCCGCACTGGGCCCGCGTGGTGGGTCATGGCCCAATCCGCCTATTCCATCCACAGGGAAGCCCTGTGCCCCAGCAGTGGGGACATTAATAGGCTGATGATGATGATGATGAAGTACTATTTAATCTAGTACAAAATAAGAATAAATATGCAGAGCTGACGGCCAACTACTGTGGTAAAAAGGACCACTTATCAAAGGTGTAGGTATGGCATTTATCATCGTACATTTCGCCTTAAACAGGAAATTCTTCCTCAAAGCTTGGAATGAAGTTTCTCATGTACTGCGAGTTTATCTCCTGCGTACGACAACACTGCGGAATAAACTCCTACTAAAGTTTCCCGAAAAAATACAGTACAGTGGAGCCCCGGTAATCCAGCCCCTGGCTAATGAGGCACCCCCTATAATCCGACATCTTCTATTACATATTATTCACGCTAGTGTTGCCGATCGATAGTCGACTATCGAGGATTAATCGATAGTCTATCGATAGCCGACCAATCGTATGACAATCGATCGGCTTATCGATAGTATCGATACTATCGATAGCACAGAACAAGCCAATACTATCGGATGAGTGAAATACTATCGATACTATCGATAGTATTGTAGGTCGGTGATAACAAACTATCGATAGTATCGATACTGTCGATTTTATTTGCAACTATACTATCGATAGTTTAACAATTTGCAATAGTATTGTTTAAAATTTTCAGGTATTATAGTCAATCACAATCAACTATTACAATTAGCACAGCTCGATAGAAATGTTTATAAAAATATATATATCGGCCTCTAATAGTCCTCAACTACAATACTGTTAAAACATACCTAATACTATTGCAAATTGGTAGACTTTCGATAGTCTAAAACAATCGCTAGTATCGATACTATCGATAGTATTGTTGCAGATAAAATCAACGGTATCGATAGTATCGATACTATCAATAGTTTGTTATTAACGAACTACAATAGTATCGATAGTATCGATACTATTGCACTCATTCGATAGTATTGCCTTATTCTGTGCTATCGATAGTTTCGATACCATCGATTGTATCGATTCTATCGATAGGCCTATCGATAGGGTACATGATTTTCGATGTAAACTGTCGATAGTTTTCATATCGATAGTTCGGCAACACTAATTCATGCTTACCAGGCAAAAGACGGTACTCATACTACAAGTATTAGCTAATTCACGATTGAACAAGTTACAACTTGTACGCACCATCACTATTGTGCTCGACGCGTAGGGTATTGCTTTTATATTTTCTTGTAAAAACTATAGCATTAATGACGTTACTTTTATAATAAAAAGCAATCTTTCTGTTGTTTTGTTTAATTTACTAAATTTGGCATACATAACAAAGTATGATTTGTAATCTTATCATTGGATCTGTAATTTGTCGGATTACAAGGTACTCTTTTGTAAAAAAAAACGGACTATAGGGGGTCTTAGGCGGTACTCTATAATCCGACAAATTCGATAGTTCGACACTGCCCTGCAAAATGTTTGTCATAATTTGTATTCATTATAAGAGGCGAGTAGAAATGTTTGAAAGTCATGATCGATTCTTTGTAGCTCTCTGAATGGTTCTAGTTCTTGTTAAAATAATTTTGATTAAAACTCCACATTTTCTGCAACCTAATTTGAAAATGTGCGAAGCTTTGTATTTTACGGAACTTCGTTTCTTTCTTCGGAAATAATTTCCAAGTGGAATCCTTTAATGTAAAATACGTTACGTCTTTTGCAGATCTCTCAGAAGCTGTCTTACGAGCCAATTTATCTGCAGAGGAAATTTCTACCAGTGTACCCTAATACGTTTTGCAAGGAAATTTATGGAGAGTAAGTAATGCTCTGCCTACTTCATTACTAAGTCATAATTTAAACTGGCATCAAATCAAAACTTAAAAGACGATAATTTCTATTATTTTTTAAAGCATGTAACTGCTTGATGTTTAAATCTAAAGAAAATATAACTAGAAAAATTCCACGCGGATCAGGCAGCAGACGGGACCCGAACCCGCACTCTTCGCAATCCGGGCGAATGCACTGACCAATCATGCTACCGCGGCCCTCACGGACCGCGTCGAAATTCTTCTAGCCATTCTTAAGTTGCAAGTCCACAAGACAAGGTCCGCGTGGATTTTTGAAGTTATACTTCTTTAGGCGCGTTATGAAAAAATGATGAGAGTGAAATTTTAAGATGCGCGCGCATCACTGTAACACAAAAAATTAACAGCATGAAGTTGGTCGCTTTAGCGACCGCATGAAGTATGATGACAGCATGAAGTTGGTCGCTTTAGCGACCAACTTCATGCTGTTACTTTAGTGTTAACCGCACATTAAGAAAATCTACCAACAAAATAGAATCTCTATATTGTGGGTGCTAACGACTGCATTGTGAAGGCCTATCAAAAGTATTTATTAATCTGGAACAACGGAACCTAAGCGCGATTCAGGAGGCTACAGCGCCATCTCTTGACCATTGGTGTAGTAATACCAAAATCCACATCTTTATTTTTTGTAATAAAGTAACAAAAAGTATTTATTAATCTGGAACAACGGAACCAAAGCGCGATTCAGGAGACTACAGCGCCATCTCTTGACCATTGGTGTAGTAGAACCAAAAACCACATCTTTATTTTTTGTAATAAAGTAACAGTTATAGGTATTCATATTTATAATATTTATCCACATGTTTCTAGTTTGTATATTCGGTATACGTGTTTGAGTTTCATACAAGTGCAAATCACATATGTTCTAATAAATTATATTCAGTAGCGATTTTAATTGAATATTTTGATTATTTATTTATTTTTTCAAATTAAAACTGAACTTTATTGACTGTGTCCTTTTCCAGACTTTTTATTAATTTATTGTAATTATTTGCATGCAATTAAAAACTAATTTTAAACGATGCCAAAGAAGGATAACTTCTCACGCGCCTACATAAGTACACGCACCCATTTTTTTTCTAGTTATATGTCCTTTAGATTTAAACATCAAGCAGTTACATGCTTTTGTAACTATAATTGCTATTTCTTCTTGTCAAAGTATTCATTTGACATTGTGGGTTGCCTACAATGCGAAGGGATGGCGCTGCCTTGCAGCTTAAGAATGGCTAGAAGAATTCCGACGCGGTCCGTGAGGGCCGCGGTAGCATGATTGGTCAGTGCATTCGCCCGGATTGCGAAGGGCGCGGGTCCCGTCTGCTAGCTGGTCCGCGTGGATTTTTTTCTAGTTATATTTTATTTAGACTTGCACAAAAGTTCTTAAATAAACATTTCTTTTAATTTAAACATGTTCATTGTGTTACGATTGAAACGTTCTATCTCAATTTTACTTTGAACAACTGACAAAGTTGGAATGATGTAGGTATGAAGCGTAAAACAAGATTACGGCTTAATAAAATTGGGATTATGATTGCTGTTGGTGCAAGTAGCAGGTGGAGCCAAATAACGATATTCTTTAGTATTGTCTTACTGAAAAGGAAAGGTTTCACGAGGACTGCTCCAATATAGCAAGCGTCTATAGACACTTGATTAAAGATAGGAAAGGCACAGCGGATTTACGCTACAATTGGAGCACCCATCTGTCGAGGCAACCAGAGGCAATCTGGACAATCGCTCTAGAAGATGGGTGCTCCAATTGTAGCGTACTCCTATCTTTAATCAAGTGTCTATAGACGCTTGCGATGTCGGAGCAGTCCTCGTGAAACCTTACTCTTTGGTACTCTACCTTACAGAAGATCACAGTAAAATAACACTATCTTTTTGTTGGTGTTGTGTTTCTGCTGGTAAGGCTTCGTGGGGTAGGGGTTTGGGTTCAGGCCAGCAAGGAGACAGAAGCGGCAGACTTTCTCCGCATTATCATTATCCGAAGTTCCTCCCATTCGCACGAAGCGATTTGCTTCCGCCTTCATTATGCGAACGGCTAGGGAGTGGAACTCCTTGCCGAGGTCTGTTTTCCCGGACCAATATAATCTGGACATCTTCAAGGCAAGAGTGAACTGGCATCTTCTAGGCAGGCGTGTACCATCCTAGACCTCATCATCGCTTTCCATCAGGCGAGATTGTGGTCAAACGCCTTGCCTATTAAGCATAAAAAAACATCTATCTTTGCGACTGGATTCCACTTACACCTAACATTGGGCGTAGTGGGGTAATTTGACCTTACAAATACCTTGCACAGTAAAAAAAGTGTTGTGTTTTTGCTGGTAAGTAGTGGCTTAATTTTAGACAATGCAATGTATACTGATAGCACGGCATATACAGGGTGTTACAAAAATACAAATAAAGCTTGAAGGGCGTTGAAGTACATCATATATGGAGTCTTCTCTAATTTTCTTAAAATATTTGCATGAAGTTTTAACTTTTTATAAAAAAAGTTATCTTTAATGATCCTCGAACTAGTGACGGGTCTTAAAATGAGCGATATTTTTATTAATCATTAAAAATAACTGTTTTTATAAAAAGTTAAAACTTCATGCAAATATTTTAAGACAATTAGGGAAGACTCCTTATATGATGTACTTAAACGCCCTTCAAGCTTTATTTGTATTTTTGTAACAGCCTGTATAGGAACTTTAAAGAAATCTAATTACTATATTATTAGGTACTTATTTATTCTTTACACAATTTACTATTTGGTTTTACAGGGAGTAAACATAGGCACTTCTTATAATACTTTTGTGTGATATTAATAATATTATTTAGTTTATTTCTATTATTGCAGTAAATTCATCTCGGAGAGCATGTTCTGTGCTGGTACATTTACGACAGGTGAAGGAGCGTGTGATGTAAGTTGACATCTCCATTCTATATATCTACATTTCATGTTAACCCCCAGCCAGGGAGATGTACGATACAAAAAAAAAACAATAATGATGAAATGGCTAGTATGGTATCCGCAAAATGACCAACTTTCGAAAGTGGTAGAATTTTTGTTGCTTAGGCGCAGCGCATACGGCGCGGGGCAGAGCGGACTAGACAAACCCGCCTCGAGCGACAAGACAAAAGTGAGTCATAAGGATTCGTCATTATGGGTTACCTCATATTGAAATCATTTTTCAATTTGACGACTCTGTATGTAATGCTGGTTCTTATCAGTACAAGGTCTCCCGCCGTAGATTTGCGAACCGATGGCGTAGCTCTTCGACATTCACAAGTGCTTGTAACAGCCTAGACTGAATAAACTATATTGAATTTTGAATTTCGTCTGCTCGGGCATGAAGACCGCGCCGTGCCAGTGCCTTTGTTAGTCAAAACAACCGCCGCGTCTCGTCTGCTTTGCGCCTTACCTCCCCGACTATATCTTTGTATGTATCTTTATAGGAGACTTTACAGTAAAAGTTTCAATATTGCTACATTCTCATAAACAAAATATTACACCGCTTCTCTGGCGTACAAGCAACAAGATTTTATCTAGAAAGTTCCCTCGCGGAGACGGTTGAAATTACGACGTTTCTATCGTAAAACGTCTTTGATTGTTCGTTATTACCTTTATATTGTAATTCTTATGAGTCTATTACGTCTTTGTGACGGTATGTAAGAATATAACTACTTAGCGAGAAAAAGAAAGTTGTTATTTTCTATTATAGCTATTAACGGGATTGTTACCATGTACCCAGTTTTTTATTCAGTGGTTCGTATGTGTAAAAACCGCAAAAATCAAAAAAGTGTCGTTCCGCGATCTGATACTGTGAGTATTGTGCGTCGGGAACAAGTGCGGGTGAATAGTGAGAATGTGACCAGTGGTACGGGTATCGAGCGCAGTAAAAGACGACGTCAGAGGGTAGACCGATATGCCTGCCAATAACATCTACCCGCAATTACTTCAGTTACTCCGTGATCGTGGCGCTTGTAACAGTGCCGAAATATCGGAGACTCATAAAAAACAAGGTACATGGTAACAATCCCATTAATAGCTATAATGTTAGTGACCATGAAAGTTTAAAACAATATATGTTATTTTCTATGTTTCAATCTGTAAAATACTGATGAGTTTCTCGCGCCCGTTTTTCTCATCAGCCAAAATCTGCATAGGTGGTAGGGAAAAATATTGAACTATTCTAATGAGATTTTAAGATGTCAATTGGAATTCATTTCATTTTAATTATTGCTTTCGAAGGCAGAAGAGTGGACGGGCCACCTGAAGTTAAGTGGTCACTATCGCCAATGTACATCAGTAATGCCAGTGACACAGTCATTGCCGCTGCCTTTTGTGGAATACTCTATTTAAACCTCTGTTGAAGCAGACCATGTTATAGATCTGAGGCAACACCGTGGAGGGGAGCTGATACCATATAAAATAATAAATATATATATATATTTTTTTTCATTTTCATAATTGGTCAGTGCATTCGCCCGGATTGCGAAGGGTGCGGGTTCGAGTCCCGTCTGCTGCCTGGTCCGCGTGGAATTTTTTCTAGTTACATTTTCTTTAGATTTAAACATCAAGCAGTTACATGCTTAAAAAAAATATAACTATAATTGCTATTTGTTCTTTCAAATGTTTAATACTTGTAAAAGTATTCATTTGACATTGTGGGTTACCTATAATACGAAGAGATGGCGCTGCCTTGCAGCTTAAGAATGGCTAGAGGAATTTCGACGCGGTCCGTGAGGGCCGCGGTAGCATAATTGGACAGTGCATTCGCCCGGATTGCGAAGGGTGCGGGTTCGAGTCCCGTCTGCTGCCTGGTCCGCGTGGAATTTTTTCTAGTTACATTTTCTTTAGATAATAAAAATATATTATCGGTGGAACAAAAAATCTCTGGAAAGAACAGTTGTGGACTTAGCGTTTCCAAGTAATACGGGTAAACTCGACTTCGGTGACGGCAGGTGGGGTGTAAAATTTCATTTCATTAAGTTTGCTTAAAGCACGACGCGGGCGGACCGGCGCTGCTGGGCGGCAAGTTGGTTGGCATCATATCGTTCGGGCCGGCCGTGTG